CAGGACTGGACAGCCCTGCTGCAGACACACACTGACCCCTCCAGGACTGGGACTGGACAACCCTGCTGCAGACACACTGACCCCTCCAGGACTGGACATCTCTTACTTACTTTATTGTCCCAGAGAGGAAAGTGTTTTTGCAGACAGGTAAAAGACACAACACAATACACAGCACATTTAACACAACAAGAGCCCATTCATAAAATGTACGATGAGAACAAATAAATAAAGTAAAATCTACTCTCAGTTCTCACAGCTTCTGTTAAAGACGAGCTCTTGTCCTGCCTACCTCCTTCCTCGGGGCTGTGGAGTGGACAGTGGACTGTCCAGCTGGTCCTCATGATCCTCACAGCTCAGGGACTCAGCCTTTGGAAAGGTCTGAGCTTCAGTCCTGTTTCTCCAGTAACAGTTAGAAGACGCGCTCTGACACACGAGGGTCTCACCATCATCGTCTTCTTCATCATCACGAAGGTTCACGATCACTGAGGCTCAACGTGTCTGAAGCAGAAATAAAGTTTCCACAGCAACTCGTATAACATAGCGCCGTGATTGCATGTGCTCAGACGAACAAAATACGAGACAAACCGCAACAGTTTACAGCCGCCTCGGATTTTTGACAAAGTCGACAACGATTAAATGTCTCCTTTTGCTCAATAATAACTCCTTCCTGTTTCTTAGATGCAGAGGAACAACAACACATTTAAATTTCCCGCCCCTCTCCTGAATCTCGGTGTTTATTGGGCAACTGGTCCGAGTCTCGTCTATAATTGGGAAAACTTACTGTCAATCAGCAAAAACTCCAACTGACCAATCGCGACATCGCTAGACTCAATCCAGTGATCTGATTGGCTGTGGATCTTCTTATTCATAAACAGAGAGTACAGACCCCAGTCACATGATCCGGGTGTTTAATACACACCAGACCCTCACTACTGCATTGTAAACCAGCCCTCCATAGACTCGTGTATCACCATCGCCGCCGGCGGACAGTTATCGGAATCGATACCCCCTGCTGTAGCCCGATCAATAGGCTTCGTTTTATTTCGAATTCACTGACACTGCGGGCTTTTTTTACGTTTTCACTTTAACATCCAAAGACATCTCCGAAGTCCACATATTCAAACGTAAATTGTATTTTTGAAGGACGAGTCACAATAATGACAGTTTTGACTCCTAAACACGTTAATAACATGCTTTACAATATAATTTACATTTTCATTTAGTATTATACTCGTCAAACTTTTTTTACAGGACTCCGAAACATAACTTATATCTAGTAGCCTTGAAAAATAATCTAGGATACACATTTAAATGTTAAAGGATTAAGTGAACAATCAGTTTAATATACAAGAAGGAAAACACAACGTTCAGCACACACCTGAAGAAGGCTCGACAGCCGAAACGCTGTGTTTTCTTTCTTCTCTTTTCAGCAGGGAATAAACTTATTACTTGTTCCTTTGCAGCTTACGCATGCTGACACGGCTACCCACCTGAACTACTTCAATCGGTTCAAATGTCGACATTTAAAGTTGCAGTAACACTGTGAAAAACGATGTCAGAGGGTGACATTTCACAGTGTGGCCGCCAGGCGGAGACACTGCTACACGTGTCTATGGAGGCTGTTTTAATGAAGCCCTTTTCAGTTTCCAGCTGTGCTCCACTGACCGTGATGTCATCTGTGTCCAGTCCAGCTCCTGGCCCTGAGCCTCAGTGACACAGAAGACACCAGCTCAAGGCCAAGAGTCTCAGACTTACACTCTCACCAGCTCTCAATGAGCCTCAGTGGGATGTTGTGCTGAGGGTGCCTGAACACTTATCTCACTCAATGATCTTCCTGAACACGTCTTTTCATCAAGCTAACAGGCTCAGTGCAGTGTGCTGACTGAAATCATGTTCTCATCACAAATGTTTTACTCGAAGGTCAGTTTTTCAGTTTCTGTGTTCGTCTCTTTGAGGAGGCCATTTTGAGAAAAAACAGGAACGTAGACAACTCCTCCTTCTGACTCTTCCTCATTCAGTATCCTGCCTTCTGTCTCTGTGTGGAGAGGCAGTCCAGCGTGATGAGAAAGAGACATTTTTAAAGACGCTGAGACAGTGAGACACCATGGCTGAAGATGTGACCTATGCTGAAATCAAATTCACTAACATACCAGGACAGTGGATCTATTCCAGCACAGCCAGGATCCCCCCACATTGAGTACAGACCCCCCACAGCTGCCTCCGACACTGGAACAGTGTTATACTGTCTGTCTGCAGCACTAGAACACTGTGATACTGTCAGCTGTACTGTAACACATTAAAAATGTCTGTGATACTGTCTGATGCACTGGAGCAGTGTCAAACTGTCCGTCTGGTGTTCTGGAAAACTGTGATACTGTCTGCTTTACTGTAACACTGTGATACTGTCTGGCTTCTTCACTGTAACAATGTGATACTGTCTGCTGTACTGTAACAGTGTGATACTGTCTGTCTGCTATGCTGTAACACGGTGATACTGTCTGACAACTGCACTGTAACACCGTGATATTGTCTGCTGCACTGTAACACTGTGATACTGTCTGTGTGCTGCACTGGAGCAGTGTGATACGGTCTGCCTGCTTCACTGTAACACTGTTACACTGTATCTGCTACACCGGAACACTGTGATACTGTTTAAATGCTGCACTGGAACACTGTGATTCTCTCTGCTGTACTGTAACACTGTGATTCTTTCTCTCTGCTGCACTGGAGCACCGTGATACTGTCTGCTGCACTGGAGCACTGTGATACTGTATATCTGCTGCACTGGAGTACTGTGATTCTCTCTGCTGTACTGTAATACTGTGAAACTGTCTGGCTGCTGCCCTGGAACACTGTGATACTGTCTGCAGCCCTGGAGCAGTGTCAAACTGTCCGTCTGGTGTTCTGGAAAACTGTGATACTGTCTGCTTTACTGGAGCACTGTGATACTGTCTGTCTGCCACACTGAAACACTGTGATACTGTGTGCTGTACTGTAAGACTGTGATACTGTCTGTCTGCTGCACTGGAGCACTGTGATACTGTCTGCTTTCCTGTAGCATTGTAATGCTGTTTGTCTTCTGCAGTGGAGCACTTTGATACTGTCTGCTGTACTGTAACACTGTGAAACTTTCTGTCTGCTGCCCTGGAACACTGTGATACTTTCTTTCTGTTGCACTGGAAAAATGTGATATTGTCTGTCTGCTGCACTGGAGCACTGTGATACTTTCTGTTGCACTGGAAAACTGTGATATTGTCTGTCTGCTACACTGTAAGAAGGCTCCTCGGCCGAAACGTTGTTTTTCTTTCTTCTCTTTTCAGCAGGGAATAAACCTATTACTTGTTCCTTTGCAGTTTATGCATGCAGACATGGCTACCCACCTGAACTACTCCAATCAGTTAAAATGTCGACATTTAAAGTTGCAGTAACACTGTGAAAAGCGATGTCAGAAGGTGAAATTTTACAGTGTGGCCGCCAGGCGGAGACACTGCTACACGTGTCTATGGAGGCTGTTTTAATGAAGCCCTTTTCAGTTTCCAGCTGTGCTCCACTGACCGTGATGTCATCTGTATCCAGTCCAGCTCCTGGCCAAGAGACACAACAGACACCAGCTCCAGGCCAAGAGTCTCAGACTGACACTCTCACCAGCTCTGAATGAGCCAAAGTGGGATGTTGTGCTAAAGGTGCCTGAACACTTGTCTCACTCAATGATCTTCCTGAACACATCTTTTCATCAAGCTAACAGGCTCAGTGCAGTGTGCTGACTGAAATCATGTTCTCATCACAAATGTTTTACTCTAGTGGTAGTTTGTCAGTTTCTGTGTTCTTCTTTAGATCACCTTTAGATCAGTTTTATTTCTTTCTCGATAACCTGCTAGTTCTGACACGTTGGCTCTGTGGCTGGTAATGAACTTTTTTTCCACAGCAGTTTACCTGCAGATCTTTCAGCCACTATTCTGTTGACTCTGCCACAGGCCAGAACAGTGTGCCTGACTTATTTCACACAGTCCTGGACTCCTCTCTCCCTGCCTGTCACAAGTGTGTCTATTGATTTGTTTGGATCAGTGATCTGTCACGTTAAGGCTATGATTCGAAATCCCTGATCGGTTTTACAGATTGGGGATAAAAGCTGTAGGTCATAAACGAACTCTCATACTACAAGATTGCTGAAGGCTGTATTGATCCTTTTTTAACTGATCCTGTATTGATTATTGTTTCTAAACCCCTCTGTACAATTGTCCCTGCAGATCTCCCTCTGTGAGAATATGACAATATTCCACCCGCAGTCCCTCTCTGTCAGGCTGCCCTGAGACAGGACTGACCACAGTGTGGCGCCACAGCAGGCTTGCAGAACAGGACTCAGACTCTCCAGTGTCAAGAGCTGCACCTGCAGACACTGATTGTCTGAACGGGCTGATTGGACTGGGAGGATTTTCACATGGGATTGAGCTGCATAAAAGCTGTGTCAGAGGCTCAGGAAGGAGTAGCAGTAGGATTTAGGATAAGTAGGTTAGGGTAAGACATAGAATCTGCTTGTCTCATTAGACTTATGCTTTTGGTTTTATTCATGGTTCTTTTGTTAAAGTTTGTAAATGTCTTTTTGTTCCACAGATATCTATGTTTCCAGAGCCAGGATCTTCCCTGTGTGATGGTGGCAGTGAGACAGTGCCTCTAGTGGTTGTGTGCAGTACTGCTCTGGAGAGGCTGCAGCTTGGAGCTCTCTCACCAGACAGCTGACCCACAGAGGTGCAGGAGAGGGGTTGGGCCTGAAGCAGAGAGCCAGCAGTGTGCTGGAGCTCAGCTCTGTGTCAGAGAGGAGACAGGAGCCCTGCAGGTGAGTGTGGAGGCTGTGGCCCAGTCACCCAGGGGTTCAAGTTGATGATCTCAAGTCCTGCCCACAGTGGAGCTGGACTGTCCCAGGTCAGGATCAGTAGGGCCTGAGGCCCCCAGCCCAGGGAGAGGAAGGCGTCTGCTTGGAGCCCAGGGTGTCCAGTGAAGTGAAGAGCTCAGACCCCAGTGTGTAGAAGCAGTTGTGGGGAGGACTATCTTGCCTTGTCCTACAGAAGATGTACATTGATGCCCCAGTGTCCAGCCCAGCACCTCAGAAGACAGGACTGTCTGAGGAGTTGGGGAGCTGCCAGCCTGCTGCAGATATCCCAAAAGCTTCTTGTGCCCAAGGAGCTCTTGACTATTTAAGGAATGTGATGACTGTAATATGAGATGCATCTGCAGGTAGAATATAGTTTCAGTATTAAACTGAATGTGTTCATTTAACACTGTTGAGCTGAGGTAGGGTATTGCAGGGCTAGTATGTCTGCTCCTGGCTTTCCATTTCTTTTAAGCAGCGGCACCTGCAGAGCTGGGGGAAGCCATTACAGTGGTCCAGTGATGAGCTCATTCCCCAGATGAGGTGGCCTGGATGGGAAAACCTGGACTGACACTCTGGCCTTGCAGGCTGCTTGGCTTGTAGGTGTGGTTCAACAAGAAGTTGTGACTTGTCCATTGGATTCTACACAAAGGGCTAAAGGGCTATGTCCCTTTTAATGTGCAAAAGAGTTTAGGAGATGACAAGCTCCAAAAATAACTACTGTAAAATGCATCTGAACAGTACCCAGAAGATTAAAAATATTATATCCCTAGTGTGCTTTAACTTCCTTTTTGTGGTTGATAATGTACAATTAATAAACTGGAAGAGCTAGAACAAAGTGGTGGTTGTCCTGCTGAAGTAGCACAAATGAATTGAGCAATGTGTTGGAGTAAGCGCACCCTCTTGCCTGAGAGAGCTCAGTTCTCACACCAGCCATCATGCCCACAGCCTCTACCACTTCCCTGTTCTGAGAAACTAGAACAGTTTTTTAATCTGCACTCTGCTTCAGAGGCAGAAACCACTGAGCCTGTAGCCACAGACTAGTGAGAAAGTGCACACTAAGACACAGGTCTACATTGAGACCTTCACTAGTGTTGGTGAGTTCTTATATCCAACATTTCATGAATTTCAGCTACTGCACTCAGTGTGGGTTTGCTCAGCCTTTCTCACAAACTGAAAAGAAACCTTTTGCCTTCCATAACAAATCTACTGGTGTGAAGACAGCATTAGAGACCAGCTCAGGTCTTCATTCCACACCTCAAACACGCTAAGTCCTATTCAAATGACTGAGGGGTGTAGAAAGATGAGTTGTGTGGGCAGGTGAAGAACATTGGGGCACCCCAGTGATGATCCCCATCCCTAGTCTTGGACCCCTGATCCATGAGGTAGGGTAGGTCACCATTCACTCACCACGTTCTAAAGGCTAAAGGAATAGTTCCACTGTGGTCAAACTAAGAATGTATCTATTTTAATTTATAGATTTAGGAATAATATCAAAGTGCTCCAGGAGTCTAGCTATCTTAAATGAACAGATAATTCACTTGATTCATCAATAGCTTACAGCCATTGCAAATATTTAGAAATGGGTGACCTGTAAGACTAACTAGAGCCAGTGTGGAGATCCCTGTAGAAACCAGAGCTCCCCAGAACCGGGCCTCTCCGGGACCAGGGTTACAGACCCCTGGAGTCACTGGACCGGGCCTCTCCGGGACCAGGGTTGGTGACATACAGTAAATAAAATAGATTTAATACATAAAGGTTCTCCTTCACCTCTGTTCCCTGTAAGAAACATACAGCTGCAGAGCCACACAGTTCACTCCGACTCTCCCAGGCAGCATCAGTATCATCTTTATTCAATCCATTCCAGCACACCCAGGCCACAGCGGGGGCAGTTTCCAGAGCTCGTCAGGCAGGCGGGGGGCCAGAGAGGTGAAAATACACCATTTCCCAAAGTGCCTCCTTCCTGCTACACAACCCGGTCACATCTCACACCCCACCGGTCTCCTTGCACAGACTTAATAAAAAACAAAGACTTACAGCATAGGAAAAAAATAAGAGCCAGACTGTGAAAAAGAAGACTTGGGACATTTTTGCTTGTTTACATCCCACAGCTGTGGCCTAATCTGTGGTCCCAAAGCTTAGAGCTTGTCAAGTGAGCGTGACCCTTGACCCTTTCCGAGAGCCCCAGTTCGTGCAGCACAGGCCAATCACTCCCCCATGCAGGGGTTAGAGATGCACCAAGCAGAGACTCAAACAGACTAGGATGCCTACGCAGACCCTGCGAAGAGGCTGGTCTCACAGATCCACAGCTGCTTCTTGGTACAAGTTAAATCATTCCAGCTCTCGTGGGGAGCAGCAGGTGGATCTGAGTCTATCGTGGCACAGTCTTCATTGTGGTAATCATCCGGCTGATCTTTCCTCCAGAAGCTGAAAGAGAACAGGTTCGATTAGCCTCCGGGCCTGCTCCTGGACACTGCTGTCCTGGCTGGATGGAAGAAAGAGACAGGGGGACTCCTGACCAGCCCAGCTGGAAAAGTGGAGCGAGACAAGCTCCGCGCTCACTGGGTTCGAGCCTGAGATATGTCACCAGTGGGGCTGCCCAGGGTAGGGAGGCCAAACACGCCTGCTGGTACTCATCCCAGCTCAGCTTCATCAGCTAATCGAAGCCTTAATTGAACTAACAAGTTGCTTGATTTGGCACATGTCCAACATTCTTTCGACTCTGATGTTTGGCGCTTGTGAAACGCAACAGTTAAAAGTGTCGGGTGCCGTGTTCTGCTCGGGGATGTGTCGCTGAGCTCTGAGGACGCAGGTGGGGGGAAGCATGCCTATGTGGGTACAGTGAGAGAGTGAGCACTCTCCCCTGGAAGGGGAGCAGCTGTGCGATCTGTGCCCCAGGAGGGGACAAGTTGCTTCTGAACTATTACCAGCCTCCTGCACTGCTCTCATCCTCCATCTCTACCTGTGACCAGCGTGAGTTTCTACTCAGTCAGTCAGAGTGGAGATCACAGCCCGGCTCTCCCACAGCTCTTACCTGGGGTTCGGATGAGTGCCATCCACCCAGAGCCAGATCCCCTCTGCCGCTGCATCAGTCAGGCCGATCCAGTAGTTACGTTTGTCGAGACGGTTCCAGATGAACTCCTGAGCAAAACACATACAATTTCCACATCTCTAGTCTCTCCTGTCAGATTCAGACACACACGGAGTCACACACAGTCCAGTCCAGTGAGACATCTGCTTCTTTGACAATCTGAACACGGACGTAGTCTCTCCTACCTGTTCCTCCTGGGTCCTTATCGTCAGCAGATCAGCCCCCTGCTTCCTGCAAGCAGCTCGGCTGTCAGTCCAGTTCAGCAGATCAGTGGAGAAGTAGTAACACTTGGATTTAAATTGCTTCCAGCCCTCAGGACAGCAGACACAGACTCCCTCTGAGTGGTACAAACACGGACAGCAGCAACGGCATATCAGTACAGCTGTGTCTGCGGCAACGATTCCCACCTTGTCTTCACCACCAGGGGACAACAACAATAATAATATTCTCCTCGGTGGGGAGGAGAGCAGAGTGATGAAGCCAGTTCAGAGATGGGGATTATCAGGAGGCCATGATTGGTAAAGGCCAGGGGGAAATTTGGCCAGGACACCAAGGTAACACCTCTACTGTTTTCGAGAAACACCCTGGGATTTTCAATGACCACAGAGAGTCAGGACCTCGGTTTAACGTCTCATCCAAAGGACAGCGCCTGTTTACAGTATAGTGTCCCCATCACTATACTGGGGCATTAGGACCCACATGGACCGCAGGGTGAGCGCCCCCTGCTGGCCCCACTAACACATCTTCCAGAGGCAGCCTTAGCTTTCCCAGGAGTCTCCCATCAGCGTACTGACCAGCCTCACAGCTGCTGAGCCCCAGTGAATTTCTAGAAGTCAGTTGCAGGGTGATATAGCTACAAGTGAACGTTTTGTACGTGTCCATTGCAGCCGAAAGGTCGGAGAGCTCACCCCACGTGGTCTGGCCAGTGACGGGACAGTAAAAATCCAGCCCAGAGTACGTCTCGTTCAGCTTGGTGAGGGTCTGCGTCAGTCTGGCGATCTGCTCCTTCAGTCTCTCAATATGGCCCACCTTATATGCCAACGTGCTATCCTTGCTTCTGAGCTCATCCAGTTCACCCTTCATCCCAGCCCGAGAACCTGTGTAATCTGGGAGGAGAAGGTGGGTGTAGTATTACAATTTAACACAAGGGGGCATCATGGGAAGGGGGTTTTGCCAGGCACAATGTAGAGTAACAAGTAATAGGCTTATTCCCTGCTGAAAAGAGAAGAAAGAAAACGACATTTCGGCTGTGGAGCCTTCTTCGGGTGTACAGCCTACGCATGCTGGCACAGCTACCCACCTGAACTACAATGTATAGGAAGCATAAATACAAGTGGAGCCATCATTACACAACAGCCAATGTGTGCAATTCAAGTAGACACGTCATGTACATGTTCTTCAACATACAGCATGCTGGTGTCCTGGTCAAACTCCTCTCTGGTCTTTACCTCCTAATAATCTCCATCTCATCACTCTGCTCCCCTCCCCACTGAGAGCTGGTGTGTGGGGAGAGGACTGGCGCACTTTGGCCATACAGGTGGGAGTTCATAATGAAAGTCCAGGAGGGATGACACCAGCCAAGTTCACTCAGACTCAGGTCTCAGTAATCAGCAATCACTCCTGCCGTCATTTCCTCTCCTGAAACCCTATCAATACGACACGATCGATCCCCTTCTCGCCCTCGGATTCATCTCCTCCACCTCTGCAGCTGCCCCTGGGTCACCCCTCTCTCTGCAGGGGGGTCCCAGCCTCCTTGTCCTCTGGCCAGGAGGTCAGCCCTCAGCCAAGAGGGTTAAGCCAAATGTTCACTGAACACTCCTATAATCCTTTCAGGACACTTAATTCTTGGATGTTGTTAATCCTGGTGAATTGGGAGCTTTGAGTGGAGTGTCCAGAAAAGCACTATATAAGTGTAAGGAAGATGATGATGAGGTCGGTTTCGGTGGATCAATGGAGAGAATCTTGGCTCAGACCCTCATCCCGTCAGTCAGGGGGAAAGGCAGGTGTGCAGTACTCACAGTAGACACACAGGGCTATGATGGCAGCCAGCAGGACAGCACACAGCAGCGCCAGACACACTGCAGTCCGTCTGCAGGGCGGAGAGCTGGGCTCAGGTCTCACTGGAGGCACTAGGGGAAATAAACACCCAGGAATCAGCACTGAATACAAAGAACTCCTGCATCCCTGCATTTAGCCAGCAGCCATATTCATCCTGCAACTCACAGCTGGCAGCCCGCTGGAGCTCAGCAGGGGGGAGCCTGGCCAGAACCTGGATGAGAGACTCCTGGGAAAGCTAAGGTGTTAGTGGGACCAGTAGGGGGCGCTCACCCTGCGGTCTGTGTGGGTCCTAATGCCCCAGTATAGTGGTGGGGACACTACATTGTAAATAGGCGCCGTCCTTCGGATGAGATGTAAAACCGAGGTCCTGACTCTCTGTGGTCATTAAAATCCCAGGGCTTCTCTCGAAAAGAGTAGGGGTGTAACCCCGATGTCCTGGCCAAATTTCCCCCTGGCCTTTATCAGTCATGACCTCTGATGTGTGGGGAGCGTACTGGCACACTCTGGCTGCTGTCGCATCATCCAGGAGGGGGCTGAATGGGATTCCCCATTACCTGTAAAGCGCTTTGAGTGGAGTGTCCAGAAAACCACTCTATAACTGTGAGCAATTATTATACTTATAATCCCAAGAGCCACGTTCAGCTTGTTCACCTCTTGTTCTCTCATTCCCCCTCCACCTCCCTCCGAGTCTCCGATCCTCCTGCTCTCTCCTCCCTGGGGTCCTAGATGGGGAAACCAGGACAGTCCGCTGGGCGGCAGCGGCCCCGGGCAACGCGGTTTCAAAGCCCAGAACCAGTCAGAGCCGGCAGCTTCTGCAACATCTCGGTTTATGAATGTAAGACTTCCCAAAATCTGATTTTCAGAAACCTGGTAACGTCATCGTTCCGGGCAAAGGCATCACAACGGTTTTCACGTTCGTTATTTTCTTATTCTTTAAAGAGCGAGGGCAACGTGTGACTGACCTGCCGGGCCAGGAGAGGGCACTGTCTTGGCCGGGAGAGATCCAATGCTTACATTTTCATATAACCCCTCATCCTGGACCCCTAAAACAGAGAAGGGGAGTCTAGATCACCGCGCTGCTGACTGGATACTACAATGCATTAACTGTGGACTGAGAAGAGACTGAGGTGATGATCAGACCATGATGCATATTAACACTGTGGGCAGGGGGAATCTTTTAAATTAACAGGACTGTAACAATAAGGTAAGTAAAAATACAAGCAGAACTTCTTCGATGTTTAGTTAATCACTTCCACCACTTGGATTGGTGTCATAGAGAATAAATGTGCTCAGTTCATATTTACTGATCAGAGGGTCAGAACAGCCGATCTCCATAACCAACAGCTTGTAAATTAGACAATTAACATTAATACTGGGCAAACACCTAGTTTGCCTTCTGAGTAATTGCAAAATAAGACCAATACAAGTCAGAAGTTGAGCACATATTCAAGATGCTGTTTTTTTGGATATTTTTTAACAGCACTGCATGATAGTCAAGTGACTTCCCTTTAGAAAACCATTATTGCTCAGCTAATGTTTTTATTTAGATGAGAGGTGACTTCCTCTCTGAAAGGAAACCACAGCCAATGTCCACTCAGATCAGCTGCATGAGATCACAGGCCCAAGGCCTCCTCGGTATCTGGGTAGCCACAACAGCATCGAACGTGAAATACAACCTCACCCACTGCGTTTCCCCATTCCTCAGGCAGAGCAATGGCTATTTGTTCACTTAATTATGTCCTGGAGCTCAATTAGATCGGAGAACTGCGATCTCTGGTCGATGTGCAGCAAGGGTGTTGTAGCAGGCAGACTGAATGCCAACTACCCCACCTCTATTCCTGCACGCGTTAATTATCAAAGCGATCGTCAGCACCTGGGTTACTGAAATGACATTCAGGTGAAGCATCAAGTCGTGCAGCAGAAGGTGGGTTGTGTGTAGCCAATCCTTGCCTAAAGGCCCACACACCTGCTGGGGTTCAACCCAACTGAGCTTAATTAGTTCAATTAAGGCTCCAGTTAAGAAGTTGCTCGATTCTTTCTCCTCTGATGTTTGATGCTTATGAAACGCAACAGTTAAAAGGTGCCTTCTTGCATGTTTAAGAGCTAAAAAACTGCTAAAAAACAATTTCTCTTGTTATCAATTCAGTTCAGAGTTCAACTGTGAAACAGGGAGCTGGGCTGGACCAAGAACCAGCAGGCTGGAGTGTGAGGGAACCCCTGATTAAGAACATGATGATAGTCATTATTTCGCACTTATAGTCACTTATAGTGACAGACAGTATCATAGTGTTTAGTGCAGCAGACAGATAGTATCACCGTGCCCCCTTGCAACAGACAGTATCACAGTGTTACAGTAAAGCAGAGAGTATCACAGTGTTCCAATGCAGCAGACAGATAGTATCACAGTGTTACAGTGCAGCAGACAGACAGTATCACAGTGTTACACTGCAGTAGATAGACAGTATCACAGTGTACAGTGCAACAGACATTGTCACAGTTTTCCAGTGCAGCAGACAGACAGTATCACAGTGTTACAATGCAGCAGACAGACAGTATCACAGTGTACAGTGCAACAGACATTGTCACAGTTTTCCAGTGCAGCAGACAGACAGTATCACAGTGTTACAATGCAGCAGACAGATAGTATAGTCTGATTTGTGATGCGTAAAAAGAAGATATGTTTAAACAGGGGAAATTGTTCAAAACCTAATGAAATCTAAGACATGTAGTTTCTCCTCCCCTCCTTCTCTCTACTTCAGCTCTTCAGAAAATGGTCAATGGGACGAAAACCTCCAACGACACCCCTTAGCAGTAAAACCCGGGAAAGTTTTTTATTTTAATTCAGCTTTAATGCAGCTGCATCTCTCCGATGGCACAGACTTGCATCGTAAAATGTGAAAGGCCTAAGATAAAAATCTTTTCTTTGGCATCCCCATACAAACCTACCAAAAAAAATCCCAAATAACACTCAACGCAAAATAAATACACATGCAAAACAAACAATAGTTCTAGGCACGCAACAATACAGATACGTTCTTTGCTCTCTGCTTATATGACATAACTTAGACATAATCTGTCATTTAGCTGCGTTTTTGATGTACTGACAGCACAGGGCCCAAAAGATTTCTTTGTAGACATTTTTCTTGGGCACAGACATTCTAAATCTCCTCCTTGTACAGGTAGGTAGCATTTATTTGACTAGCAATACGAACAGTTCTGGCCAGTTTCCCTTTACTCTTAATACTGAGGCTACCCTACCACACCATGATACTTTCTACTCACCTTATATAAAACCTCTCCAATACGTTCTGACTCACTCCAAACCCTTTCAGCTGCCTCATCAAAAATGTACGCTGACTGGCCTTCTTAGAAATGCAACTGCTGCTCTCTGCAAAGTTCATCTATTACTTTTCCTAGGTATTTGAAACCGTGAACATCCTCCACAGGCAGATTAATAAGGAAGGGAGGTTGAAAATCGCATGTATTTCTCTCAAAAGGAGGCAATATTTAGATGAAGCAGACTTGATTTATTTAGCTCTTTATTTCTAGTTTACTTATCTGTTCACAATAACCCACCACCCTTCTCTTTCATCCCCAGTAAATCATCCTACCAGAGCCATGTCATCAGCACACATTCATAGATTAACAGTTCCCTGCATTTGCATTTCATTTGTAGAGATGGAAAACAGCCAAGGTGACAAAATGCAGCCCTGAGGAACACCCGTAATTAAAACAATTCAATTTAAAATCCTTAATCCATTTAATAAGCCTCCCATTAACATCCGAAGCCAACAGCCATTCCAGTAGTACAGGGGTGTGAATTATACGAAATGCTGAACTGAAATCATTAAATAAGATATGCACATATGAACTGCTGTAGACGACTAGCTACTAAACTCACTGTAGTCAAAACTGCATTGTCAGTCCCCTTGCACTCTTCATAAACAACTTACAGGGGACCCAGATGATTTGCAATCGAGAGGGTTTATAAATCACCCTTTCCATGCACTTAGCCAGTAATGAGTAACTGCCTCCTGTCGAAAGCCACTTACTGCTCTGGCCTTGGGTTTTCTGGGTACAGGTATAACTGTTGAAGCTTTCCACTTATTTGGGACAATACAAGAATCGGGTAGTGCCTGAACTTTGAGTAGGAACCAAGTTCGAACTCCCCTGAGTTGATTAACACTCAGGTTCAGCGCCTTTGAGGCGTAAATCATCCCAGCGTAAAGTTAACAAAGATAACAGAGGAGCCCTGTGCTTCCTGCTGGGATGTCACTTACCGGAGCGATTGGCTTCTGGCTGTGATCCGATCGGACTCCTTGTGTAGTGCATGTTGCCGTCTTCAGGGCTGTCCAGTACAATGTAGTATGTGTCACTATCAGACTGTCACATTTACATACGGACACAGTTTCCAAAGACTGCTCTCGTGCAGACTGCAGATGAAAAGGAAGCCAGTCCCTCAGACCACAGGAAACTCTTTGATGGCCTGAAAACTGTCTTTGTGTCTAAAAACTCAAGCATGAATCTTTGTATTTATTACCTGATTGCATTGTAACTGATATCTAATTTGTAGGTCTTTAAGAAACAATGGCATCCCACCAGGACACCAGAACAAAAAAACGCATAGTAGATTTTTAGGGAGGGGTTACCCCACTGTACTGTCTTGACAAGCATCAATCACCCAATGCCAAGAGGGTGACCCCTTCTGAGACCTGAAAACGCCGCCTTGTGTCGATCTGAGCACGGCGTTGGCCTTTTTGATCATCACAATAACACGTGTAATTCACATTGACCGTACTTTCAGAGCAGCTTTAAAATCCCCGTCCCACCTCAAAGTGTCCAGGTCAAGCTGGCATGGAGTCCCATAAAGTCATTGTAAAGGGAAGAGGAGGTTATTGCTCAAACCGAGGTTCCTCCATTAGGCCCAGGAAGGTGGTAAGAACTGAGTCAGCCCTGGGCTTCTAGAGCATCACTTTTTAACCACAGGAACACTAACACTGTGGTCTCCCCCTCTCTGGGCCGTTACGATCTGATTTAAGAGTTGCCTACAGCCAGAGCCAAGCCTTTCAAGACTTCAGCTCAGTGTGTGCCAGCCTCATTTTCCCATTGTCCGTGGCTTTTGAAAGCCAGGAGATCAATCACTGGACCTGCTTTCACAGACCATTTGTAACAGGAGAAGCAGTTTTCCAACAGAAACGAGCCATCGGATTCTAGACTCAATGGAAGTGACAGTGTAAAAGAACCAAACTATTCTCTATAATCTTGATACATCTTGTGGGGAAGGTTCTCAAAGACACTGACAAAGCCAACCCAGTAGACGTCTTCATTATCAATAGTGCGACCTGAAGCGGGGCACACCAAACTATTTTAAAAACATTTTAAAAAGAGAGCAGGGGGACATTGCTTTACACAAAGGGTGGTGGGAGTGTGGAACAAGCAGCCCAGTCTTGTTTCTGAGGTTGAACCCTGGCTTCTTTCAAGAAATCTGGTTGACTGTTAGTGCCTCAAAAAACACATAATGATCAATGCACTTTATACACCAGCAGAAGTATTAGTGTCTTGTGCCCTGAAAAAACTGAAAGTACCCTTTGTGCAATGTAAGGCTTAGCCAGAAGATGGCAGGAGAGAGACAGTTTAGCTTAAAAACTGACAAAAACGACAATAGGACATCAGGATCTGAAGCATTTAATCTAGTCCTCACTTGCAACAGTACAGCAGAATATGACAAAATAAACTAAAAGCACCCCTGCCCAAACAGCTTAACAATACTTTTAAATGCAAACAATACGAAATATATCCAACTGTCCAATCCCTAATGATCCCTTGTTAAGATCATACCAAGTGTGAGTCATTTAGTTAAAAGAAGTGCCACTACTCAAAACTATTCAAATTGTACATAGGATAAGCAAAAGAAACAATTTACAAAAATTATGAATGCTATTCCCATAGTAAAAGTAACATAAAAGAACCTGTGACATTTCTTCATTCTCATCAGAGGAACAGGTCCTCCTGGCCATGTTATCTTAACACATCCACTGATCTGTCCATTGTCTAAACTCTTATCCAGTTCAGGGTCGTGGGGGAGACGTAACCTATCCCAGCAAGCAATGCTGCAATCGTGTGTGTGTGTGTGGGGGGGGGGGGGGGGTTGTTCAACAGCCCACAGACCGGATGGAGGTGAAGGTTGATAATATTGGATGTGCACACATACCTGGGGAGTTTCTGTCTCTCACGTGGGCTTCAGTCACTTTTACACTTGGGATCGGGTGCGTCACAGCGATTCTGACAGGGTCACGCTGCTGCAGAGGTCACTCTGACTGACCACCCCCCGCAGAAAGCGATCTGCACGTGGACCAAAGGGCAGGACACTTTTACAGTTTTACCCCCACTCCCTCTGTCTGCCATCAGACTCTCTTTGCAGACCTGTTCTAGCCCGTTACCAGTAACCCATTATATAACACCCAGACGTGAAATTGTGAGAATGTGTTATGACACTGTCCTGCACTTGTCTCCCCCCCCCACCACCCCTGTATTTCAGAAAAAACTGCTTATTTGCACACTACTTACACTATTGTAAATACCCATTTATTCTTTTATTTATCTACTCTTTACATTGTTTTATTTATGCTGACATTATGTGGACTGTTTCTAGTGTATTGCGCACCTCGGACCAGGAAAAACTAGATTTCGTTCTGTCTTGTAGATCTGTATAAGTGCAGAAGGACAAAGTGAACCGAGCCGTGAACTGTAACCCATCACCCCTAATCATCCCCTACTGTGAGCCTATTTACAATTCAGAGGTGCTTTGGTGGCCTCTAGTGGCCAGTCGGGTGCTACTGCAGTCCCGTCACAGGTTGGCTCTGCTGCGTCCAGCCACAATGGCCACTCTAAGGAGAGAGGGGCAAGGTGTTGGCCTCGCAGATCCACCGCAGGGAATTTTGACACTCGACATCGTTCCAGCTCTTCAGAGCATTTACGGTTGTGAAGGTGGCTGCACAGTCCTCGCTCAGGTTGAAATTGTCCGGTTGGCCGTCCATCCAGTACCTGCAAGAGTGCAGAACGCCCTTCAGCACAGCCAGCAAGTTTACAGGACCTCCCAAGCCTGCAGTAACAGCACAGCACACGGTAGTCATCATCCGAGCCTGTCACTCCTCTGTTTCCAGATCTCTTCACAACGCAGCGTTATTGCGTAGAGGGTTCAATCACCGAAAGCCAGAAGAAATTCTTTAAAAGTTTTACATTTTTTAAAAGTCATCAGTTACAGTGATCTGTGCTGTGTGTAGAAATTACTATGTAAAGCCATATATATTGTGTCTTAAAAGCAATTTTCCACCTTCGTCATATCAGTGTTAAAAAGCAATCTCTTATTACCTTGGAAAAGTAACGGATGACTTTCTAAAACGAGCCCCTGACACAAGGGCCTTGCACTTGTAATGGATTACCGTTTCAAACTAATACCCTGCACAAACACCTTGTAACTGTGACAGACTACTTCAAAAACGTCCTCAACTCTGTGTTTGTACAGATGACTTTATTGTGTGTCTTTACTGTTGCTTCCTGCTCGATGAAGTCATTTTAAAAAGCAGGAGGTTTTTTTTAGGCCAATGAGACCTCCGGGTTGAATACGTGAAAATCATGGGACTCTTAACAGTTCTTACCCTCCGGTCAGTTGAGTGTCGTCCACCCAGAGCCAGGTCCCTTCTCTTTTTGCATCGGTCACTCCGATCCAGTACTGATCCCAGTAATTTCCTCCAGTGTGACTCCAGATAAATATCTAAACCCGAGAGACACCTTCAGTCGCTGTTGAAGGGCGTGCCCATGAAGCAGCCCCACACAGTGTCCAGCGTGAGGCGCTGTGGTGCCCAGTACTGTCACCCTCCTCCCTGACCCCGTTGGTTCCTACCTGTTCCAGGCTGCTGTCTATAACCACCAGGTCACCTCCTCGTTTTTGACAGTCAGAGCGACTGTTATTCCAGGTCTCATAATCTTCAGAGATGTAGTAGTACTTGGAGTTGAACTGCAGCCAGTTTTGGGGACAGTCTGTGCAGACCACTTCTGTGCGGAAGAGACAGTACGGTCTTGCACCTCTTTACTGGTTCCAGCAACAAACAGGGCAAAAACTATCCATCCATCCATCCATTTTCCAGCTGCTTCATCCAGCTCAGGGTCGGGGGGGGGAGCAGGAGTCTATCCCAGCAAGCAACAGGCACAAAGCAGTGTACACTCTGGACAGGACGCCAGTCCATCACAGGGCACACACACTTACGCCAAGGCCAAGTTTTCCCAGAATCCAATTAACTCACCAGCATGTCTTTGGACTGAGGGAAATCAGATCCCCTTGAGGAAACCCATGTGAACCCAGAGAGAACGCGCAAACTCCCCACATACAGTACCCCGGGAATTGAACCTAGGGCCCCAGCACCGCAAGATAGCGACGCTAATCTCTGTGCTACTGTTAGAAAATGTCTTTGGACCGAGGGAGAATACCCACATGAATATGGGGAGAACATGCAAACTCCACACAGACAGCACCCCAGGTCTGGAATTGAACCCCATGCACCAGTGCTGCCAGGTCCAAACAGAGCTGCCCACATGGAAAAATCAACACATAAAATACAAAAATCTGCTCCATCTGGGAACAAGAGGCTCCATAAAGCAGTCAAGGCAGTATAATGATGGATGGATTTTGTGAAGTCAGTTCTCAATCTTAGTCCTCAATCTCAGTCCTCAAATACTGGGAAAGTACCTGATGTCCTGTTGCTGGCGACGGAGCAGAAGTAATCCAGCGGAGCGGTCTGCTTGCTCAGTTCCACGACCTGGTCCAGGAGTTTCTCCCTCTCTCTGTGCAGCTGCTCTCTGCAGGCAGTGAGGGAGCTGCACTTGATCTGAGACAGATTCAGGCCGCTGGCTTTGCCCGGAGAGCTCTGGGACAAGCAGGCGGTTCTTGACCTGCTACTGAGAATATCTGTGTGAAGAAGACAGGCAAACCTTACTGACCAGTCGATACAGCTGTTTCCCAGCAGATAGAACTTATCCAGTGGTCTGATGCCATCCCTGTGTTTTTCCAAAGGTGTACTTCCTGCCACCGCCAAAAAAACATGCCATCTCTGCATTCTGTCCTGACAGTGCTTTAGCCCAGGTGTGAGCTATGGCGAATAGATCCCTGCTCTGGGTCGGGCCTTTTCCTGACAGCGCCCCCCCCTGGAATATCCAGAATTCTCCTGGCTGGTACCCCCAAGGCCTCCACGTGTGGGGGGAAAAAAAAACAGCAGGACGAAGGAGAGAAAGACAGACAGAAACTCCCGATCAATCCCGAGACATTTCTGGAACGTGTCTGTGGTTGTGTAGGTATAAGAAACGACTGAATGAGTACTTAAAAGATCTGGGGGGTTTACGAAGGAGAAGAAAACGACCAAACTCTGCAGCTTGTTCGGCCTTTTGAATAGATGTAAAAACCGGATTTGGGTTTATTTCAGTTGGAAAGGCGGAAAACAGGCACGTTCGTACATCCTGGATGCAAATAAAAAAACGCTTTACTCCACCAATGGGCTACAGCGAACTCCCATGAGTTTTTAAACCGAGCGAGCAACAGCGAGCACCCGTGAATAGTGTTTGTTATCAAGATCACCTTGGTGCTCTATGACCATTTCTACACATGGACTAAAATTCCCCACCCACATGCCCACGAAACACTTTTTACAAACTTTCCAACCCTCCGCCTTGTCTGGATGACTGTGTCAAGGAGCACAGGAAGTCCACCTAGAGGAAAAGTTCCTAGTTCCTCTTCTGAAAAATCGGCCAGCTCTGCCGATTCGCTCTTCCCAACATGCCCTCTGACCTCCCCCATGTCTGCCGGGAACATACGTTGTGACATCGCGCAAGGGGTCACGAACAGCGCATCACTTCCTCTTCCTGCGCCACATGACTTCCTGCCCTGGGGGAGGCTACAGCCCCCTCGCATTCGCCGCCAATGTTTGAAGCTTCTCCATCACAGGATCTCCTCCCATGACTCACCTGTTGCGGCCAGTCATTGGGAAATGACCGGCCCCCAGTGACGGACCTCAGCTGGCAGACGTATCTTAGGAAACCCAGACGTTTCCAGGTCTGCGCAGTGCCATGTTCTGCGATTCTTCCAATGAGGTGAAGCAGCTCTATTACACTGTAAACAAGCAGGCTTGTGAATCCATAACTTACTTGTTAACTCTGCCTGCAGATCACGCTGGAACATTTCTGCAGTGAAAAGTCTGCTGCACAACCTGTACCTATTCGCTCGTCCATCACAGCACATCAGTCATTACAGGGACTAGTGAGCAGGAAGGGCCGCCTCACGTCACATTTCTCGCAAACTCTCGCTCCTGCCGGTGACGAGACCAGCGGTTTGTGACAACATGGCTGCCAACATGGAATGTGGGTGTGTCAGAGCAGCCTACCTGCACCCCCCCTCACTCTCCCCTGTGTGCGGTCAGGGGGTTTGTCACAACCGTTTTTTTCTCTGTATTCAAGTCCCATATGCAGCTGCAAGTTAGAGGAGTTTTTGTCCAAAAACGTAGGTGTCTATTTCACTATGTGAAGAACACACTGATTTACACAGACATTCAAATAAAAGTATATTAACTCATAGGGACATATAATGCCCACTACCATTACAGTTTAGCAAGAATGAGGGCTGATAGTGTGTTATACTCACAGTAGACTACCAGGGCTACGATGCAGGCCACTAATACAGCACACAGGAGCCCCAGACACATTGCAGTCCTTCTGTAAGAAGGGCTTGGCTCATCTTTCGCTGTAGACAAAAATCAGTGGAATTAGTCAGAACCACATCCTCACACTACGGGCTACAGTGTAACGCACAGGCTAGGAGTACCGAACCTGTAACTAGGGGGTTCCAGGTTCAAATCCTGGATGAGACACAGCCGTTGCAAGCTTGAGCAAGGTCTTTCACCTGAATTGCTCTAGTAAAACGGCTTCATAAGGGAGCGCAAATGTAAGTTGCTTTGGATTAGTGTCAGCAATTTAAATTAGTAAAATAAACTGTGATCACGTACCCCCCCCAGAAACTATTTTTTGCTTCCTGTTCCTTCTGACCTCCTATTTCTCTCTCTTATTTCTCAGTTCCAAAGTCCCTTGACAGCAGCAGGGTCTTCCTGGTTTTCTAATTACGTAATGAATGAGTAATGAGTAATGATCAATGAGTAATGATGGGCTTGATTGCTCTCTCATCCGGTGTTACAAACAGCCCTATGAGTCCTGCCAGGCCGTGGCCCACAGCAGGCAGTGGGGGGAGTAGGATTCTAACCCAGCAAGCGACAGGTGCAGGGCAGGATACACCCTGGACAGGATTGCAGTGCCCTGCAAAGGACAGAGTCCTTTGCAGGGCACACACTCACACCAGTGCCAATATCCACCAGTATGTGTTTTTAGTATGGGAGGAAACCCAGCAAGACCAAGCAAGCTCCACACAGACAGCACCCCAGGAATTGAACCCAGGGCCCCGGTGTTGCCAGGCAGCCAAGCTTTCCACTTGTGCGAAAGACAATGAGGACACTACAGGGAAGTGCCCACGAAACCCCCAAAAAACGGGAGGCACGCCAGTCCCCTGGTTTCTTTCAAGAAACCGCTGGATGAGATCCTTCAATCAGGACAGGAGGCACGGCTTCACACCAAGAGTGGTGGGAGAAGGGAACAAGCAGCCCGGCCACGTGGTTGAAGCCACTACCCTGGGTTTCTCTCAATGAACGGCTATCATCACCATACTGCATGCGCCATTGACTCTTTTCGATGTTCAGGGCAGGGTTAAAATCCCCACCCTGCCTCAAAGTGTCCAGGCCAAGAACTCATGATACCCATGATGGGCAATTCAGACCTGGGATCAATTAACTTACTATGAAACAGCTACATTGGCTGAATGTCTCCTCTCATCCCCTCTGTTCTTAGTCCCCCGTCCCCCAAGCTGATCGGCACCAAGATGTAAACTGCATTTGTCCTTACCTGTCCGCTTGGCTCCTCGATTCTTGATGGGGGCGGGGGTCACCGTGCTGTACATGTCCCTGTCTGAATACTCCAGCCCAGTGTATATGCTCTCCGACGCTGTTGACCGAACTCTGTTGTTAGCCCGACTCGCCATCCCCACAGATGGGCTGCTGCAGCAGTGGATACTGTCGTTCTCTGTGGAATGTGCTCATACTGTCTCTCCGGGACATGCGAGTGAAACAGGAAGTAGCTCTGTCAGGAAATGGAAAATTGGGCAAGGACCGGAGCACGGTGTCTAAACGTCTCCGTCTCCAGTGCGTCTTTGAGCATTTGTAGCCCCCTCCCCAGGAAAGTCTGTTACAAATCAGGCTAGGGAACATTGTGATATATCGCACTTCTGTTTTTTTGTGTTGTTGTTTTGGTTGGGTTTCGCCAGCATTGCAACTGGTTTGGAAACCCACAGGTCTGTCACTCTGTTACATCATCGTGGATGAGCTGGGGGGACTGTGCTCACACGCAAAAGACAGTTCAACTGTGTGGCAAGCCATCTCCACGTGGACGGCACCCCTGGGTGCGGAATTGCACCCTGGGGGCCCCCCCGAGCCCTGTGCGACAGCGACGTTAACTAGCAGCCCACCGTGTTGCCCTTTCCAGAAAGCATCGTGCTCCAGAACGTTGGGCTGGGATTACATTTGGTCCCCTCACTGCAGCGCTCTCCCAGCTGTCTGAGAAATACCAGTGCTTGACCGGATTAAAATCTCAAAACCCAAAAAAAGAGATAGAGAGTCATGATCAAGCTCGGAAGGCCCAGAGGACGTCAAATCTCCTCCCGTGTCTGTGTCGAGATGCCATGTTGCCGGCTAACGTGTTTGAGCACTTCCTTCTCGCATGAGGACGTGATCAGCGACCATCCTTACCGGATATCTCCCCGCGGCTCCGGTCCTCTTCCACCTGCCCAAAGGGCTCATGTCACCCCGGCAAAGCCACGGAAACTCCAGCCTGCTTGAGGGCCTCCCTCTGTCCCGTGACTGCGAGATCAGTCTCACTCGTCCACCCCCCACGGGCCTCGGACAGAG